CATGGATTACATAAAATTCGATCATGGATTACAAAAAAAACAACAAAAAAACAAAAATTCAATCGTGGATCACAAAAGAAGAAAAAACAGTTCGATCATGGATTACAAAAATTCAATTATAGATTACAAAAAACTCTATCATGGGTTACAAAAAAAGCAAAAAACAAAAAATTCAATCATGGATTACAAAATAAAAAGCAAACATTTCGATCATGGATTACAAAAAAAAACAAACATTTCGATCATGTATTACAAAACATTCGATCATGGATTACAAAAAATTCTATCATGTGTTACAAAAACAAAAAAAAAACAAAAAAATCGATCATGGATTACAAGAAACGAAAACAAACATTTCGATCATGGATTACAAAAAATTCTATTATGGGTTACAAAAAACCAAAAAATTCGATCATGGATTACAAAAAAACAAAAACAATTCGATCATGGATTACAAAAAAATCGATCAAGTATTACAAAAAAATCTATCATGGATTACAAAACAAAAAAAAAAAAAAAAATTCCGTACGGACTAGCCGATTCACTGTTCGGACTCTCCGATTCCGTACAGTGAATCGGCGATTCACTGTACAGAATCGATTTCCGATTTTTTAGGCGATCCGGTCCCCTTTTCACGATTTTCGAGTCGAACCGGGCGAGTCCGGTTCGACTCGGCGTTTTTTAAAACACTGATGGAGAGTGTTCCCACATAGGAGAACCCTCGAGATCATCTCGACGTTGAGATGAATCGATATCAAGAAAAAAAAAGAATTCCAAGTTCGGAGAATAGTATATCCAGTAAAAAGTCATTTGGAATATCTGTTGTATTTATTACTATGCTCGATCTATACTATTTTTTAAATTTTAAATTTTTTAATTAAAGATAGAAAGAGATTTTGAAGCCATCATAAGATTTTCAACGCCGAAGCGACATCTCTAAGTAAATTTTATGGGTGTACCAGACTTTTACAGTATCAGGACGCAACCTTACACAAACCTCGCCCTATTATAAAAGAGGAAAATTAACATGCAGAAGCAACGAAGACCAAGACCAGTCACCGTTTCTACAAAGAGATCACAATTAGTTACGACTATCTAATGTGAAATATGAACTTTGAATTTAGTCAATGAAATAATTGCAGCCAATGAATTTCACATTCAATGATCAAGATTAATTGTGACCACCTTGTACACAAGAAAAATAGTCTCATTGTATACATTTCCTTAATGTAAACATCCCTTGTTAATATGGATATTTAACGGTAGGGATTGTACACTACAAGATCATTTACCTTTGGTACAAGGAGGTCAGAATTACTTGTCACCATCTCATGTGAAATCTAATTGTTTGGGTGTGTCATAAAGTTTGAGAAAAATTCTTTTGAATATTGAGCTTGACCAATAGAATAAAGGGTTATGTTAGGGTGCTCACACTATAGAGTAATTAATTATTGTACTCAACAAAATTTTCACACTTATATACCATTATTTTGTACAAGTTTGTTTTTAATAAATGTATTTTTGGTCATTAGGAATGGTGTGATATCATCTACATGGGATATGTTTCACCTACATGGGGTCTAACATCACCCACATTGAGCATTAAATATCACTAGTGTGATCTATATGGGTGATATCACACCAAGATAATGTCACACCCCTCTTAATGACCAAAAATACCCTTATTAAAAAAATACTCCATATACAAAACAAGGTATATAAGCATCCAAATTTTGTTGACTCTATAGTATAAGCACCCTAACACAACCCTAGAATAAATGCAACTACTCAATTTCACATCCAATAGTCAAGGTGAAATGGTGACCACCTTGTACAAAAAGTAAAAAGTCTCATTATATACTTTTCCTCAACGCATAATAAACTATTACCATTCACTTTTGGTGCATAAATGATAACTACCTTTACTCATCAAATGCTGAATCCGACAGCTTAAAGTGTGCCTCTCGGTTTAAGAAATTTTATTTTAAAATTTGTTCTAGTATATAACATACCTCACCTCCTCCTCCTTGCCCAACTCAAACTCACATCAACAACCAATTACAATAAGTGCTTGATAACTCGGTCTATGTCCCAATCTCTCGAGGCGAGTACTCGAGCTCACCATCCTTGTGAGCCCCAGTTTGTCCAAGTTGGGTGTTCTACTCAGGGATATTAAAAGAATTTAAAAATATAAAAATCTTAAAAAAAAAATAAGATATTTATTTGCGATATATTTTTTATTTTTCTATTATTTTAGCAAAGATTAGTGTTGGAAGTTTGAATTCTTGAAATCCCAATTTAACCAATCACTGAATATCACACAATCAATATCGAATATGTAACATTAATAATTCAATAATAAGCTCAAGGATCGTGTACAATAATTTGGGAAAAACGAATTAGAGATTGAAACATAATCAGGAGATAAAATTAGAGAGAGACAAACCACAACACAAATTTAATGTGGTTCACCCTGTAGGGCTATGTCCACAGGCAAGCTGGCAAGTAATTTAATTATCAAAAGAGAAATTTATAAAGGGATACAAAATTACCTTCAAGGAAAAAAAATTGGTGAAAAACATCACCAAGAATATATTCTTGTGATCATCCAAAAACCACGATTTACCCCGCTTCACTTCGGATGATCCAAGAATATGAGCAATACAAACGCATATAATTTCTCCTAAATATAGGACAAAAATCAGTCTTCACCTCATTCCCTTTCTCAACATAACCCAAGGAACCGTAACTCCTTTCTAGGGAGAGAAGAGCAAACCCAAAGAAGCGTGAATCGTGCAACCCAAAAAATTCATTTTTGCTTTTATGCAAGCCACCTAATTGTAATGACAAAAAAACTAAAAACAAATGGGAAAATGCAAAAACATCCAAATCGTGATTTTTCTATCACTGTTCAACAATCTCCACCTTGATAGTAAGTCACCTACTTGCATTGCCGATACTCCCCTTTTCACTTATTTATGAAGCTTAGATAAGTTAGGCTCTATTCCAATTTCTCTATCGGAACCATCTTCATGAGCATATCCGCTACATTTTCTTAGTTCCAACTTTCACCAACCGAACCAAATCATCTTCAACAACTTGTCGAATGTAATGGTATCAGACTAATATGTGCTTCGTCCTCTGTGATAAGCGAGATTCTTGACCAAATTAATGGCACTCATAGTATCACAAAATATTTTCATGGGCTTAGAATTGATACCCAATTCTCCAATAAAACCTTGAAGCCAAACTGCTTATTTGCTTACCTCGGTCACCGCCATGTACTCTGCCTCGGTGGTGGACAATGTCACCGTTGATTGAAGCTTAGACATCCAACTTACCGGTCCATTTCTAAACTTGAAAACATAACTAGTAGTTGATCTTCCTCTATCAAGATCATCGGCGTAATTTGCATCAACGTAGCCTTGAATGTGCCCAGAGCCTTCGCTAAATATCATAGCATAAACACTTGTACCTCTCAAATAATGAAGATCTCATTTTGTACCTTTCTAATAATGAGCATTTTTCAGGATTTTCCATAAAGCGATTCATGACATCAGTCGAATATGCTACATCCGATCTACTACATATCATGACAAATAGTAGGCTTCCCACAACACGTGGATATGACACCTTAGCCATATTCTTCTTTTCATCCACAGCCTTTGGACTTTGCTTGGAAGACTACTTGAAATGAGGGGCTAATGGAGTCTTCACTGGCTTTGCCTTGCTCATGTCAAACTTATCAAGCATCTTTTCTATAAAGCTCTTTTGTAAAAGTGATAAAGTCTCACTCCGTCGATCTCTTTGGATTTCGATTCCAAGTATTTGTTTTACCGGCCCGAGATCTTTCATTTCAAAACTCCTGCTCAAAGATGCCTTGGGCTCATCAATCCTAACCTTATCCCTGCTTGCCAAAAGCATATCATCAACATACAAGACTAAAATTAAATAAGAACCATCATAAAAAAACTTCATATAAATACAATAGTCATAACCACTCCTATGGTATCCAAGACCACTCATGAATATGTCAAAAGTCTAATACAATTGTCTTGATGCTTGATTGAATCCATATAAGGATTTCTTCAAATTGCACACTAGCCTCTCTTTTCTTTTTTCAAGAAATCCTTCCGGTAATTGCATATACACTTCATCTTCAAGTTCACAATGTAAAAAAGTTGTTTTTATATCCATTTGTTGAAGCTCTAAATCATGTAATGCAACAAGCCCAAGCACCAACCTTATGGAGTCTAACTTGACAATCAGTGTGAAAATTTCAAAAAAGTTGACACCTTCCTTTTATACAATTCGCTATGCAAATAGCCTTGCCCAATACCTTTCTAGATTTCTATAATCCCTCTCTTGATTTTTAACACTTACTTGCAATCAACCGTTTTTCTACCATTTAGCAATTCTACAAAATTCCAAGTCTTGTTCTTCCGAAGAGCCAACATTTCATCTTCCATGGCCTTCTTCTAAGATATGGAATCATCTCCTTCCATAGCTTCTTGATAAGTGCTCGGTTCTTCATTCATAATAACCAAGGCATATAGGACTTCGGGATCTACATAATCCCTAAACTGCTCGGGTGGACGAATTACCTTTGTAGATCTTCTGGTCATGGATGATGCAACTTCTTCATGGGAATCACTTGGTTCACCAACTTGTTCTTCTTCATCAATAGCTTCTTCATTGAAACTTATGGGTGCTTCTTCCAGTATATGACCCTCACTAAATACTAGGACATAATATTGAAAATAAATTTCTTGGGTGTCATTATGAGATTCTTCACTTTCTTTAATCTCATTTTCTATACCTATTGTCAACATGGATGACTCATCAAAATACACATCTCGGCTTGTAATTATCTTTCGGGTACTTGGATCCCATTACCAGTATCATTTCATCCCTTTGTTATACCCAATAAAAATGTATTTTTATAGTTTTAGTTCAAGCTTATCTCTTTAGCAACTAGGAATTAAAACATAAGCATCACAACAAAAAATCTTCAAATTCGAATAATCACAAGGAGTTTCAGACCATACCTGTTGGGGTGTTTTCTCTCCCAAAGTCGCCAAAGGTTATTGATTGATGAGATAACTTGATGTCATTGTGCCTTCGACCCATAGTTCTTGCTGCAATTTGTCATTGCTCAACATATTTCTAGCTCGCTCCATCAAAATGTGATTCATCATTTCCACAACATCATTTTTGTTTGGGAGTGTAAATTGTGGGGAAATTGCCTCTTGATTCCTTTATCTTTACAAAATTTTGTAAACGCATCGGAATTGTACTCATTCCCATTGTTGGTGCGAAGTGTCTTGATGTGGCACTCTGTACGCTTCTCAACTTCAACCTAAAAATGCTTAAAGGCCAAAAACGCATCACTCTTTGATTTAAGAGTGAACACTCATACTTTCTTTGAGAAGTCATTTATAAAAGAAATAAAATATAATGCACCACCATATGACATTATGGGTGAGGGCCCTCATAAATCTGAGTGAACATAATCAAGTAATCCTTTGCTTACATGGCTTCTAGCTTTGAAAAGTCGTCTATGTTGTTTCCCATAGACACAATGCTCACAAAATTCGGATTGCCCAAACTTTCTGGTAGAAATTAAGTTCCTCTTTATCAAAATCTCTATACCATTTTCACTCAAGGGACGCAACCTTCTATGTCATAAGTGTAGTGGAAGATCATTATTCTCCACTACCGAATTTACCGCATCGTCAATAATAGAGCTTCAAACTAACTTATACAAGTTTCCAACTCTAACACCCTTGATCACAATAAGAGCACCCTTAGATACCTTGAGAACTCCCCTTAATCAGTGAATTTATAGCCATGGGATTCCAATAAAGAAAGATAAATTAAATTTTTTTTCAAGTCCAGCACAGGTCGAACATGCTCAAGTGTGCAGATACTTCTATCATACATCCTTAATTTCACCATGTCAATTCCAACTATTTTACTACTTGAATTGTTTCCCATCACTACAAAACCTCCATCACATGGTTCATATGAACTAAACCGTGACTTGTGTGGGCACGTATGATGTGTAGCACCACTATCCAAAATCCAACTTTGATAGAATTTGGGATTGAACTTCGTTTTTAAGGAATCCAATTTTGTAATGGGTCATTTTGAGGGTAATATAGAGCTAGCATATTTTTTATGAAATGTTATAGTATTTGTATTATTACTGCTTACTAAATATATTGCAGAATCTTCAGTATCACTATTGATATCAATGAGAGTTGTTGTACTTATGGGCCATCTTGAGAAGACTTGGAGTCTTCGTGAAATTTGATTGTTAGTGGTTGCATATGTATATTGGGTTTAGCATCATATCACTGCCTAGAGCTATCCAGTATACATTTGATATAAGATTAATGGGATTTATTAATTTAACATTATTTACATTACTTCTTGTGATTGATGGTGGTGAAACTAACAACTATTGTGCATCCAAAATCATAAAATCAATGATGGCAACAATTGTGATAGCCTTAAAATAAGAAAAACAAAATTCATATCCATACATCCAGAAATGAGTTATTCTCATGTCCATGCATCCAAAAATGATGTCCATTTTTTTATCATGTCAATGCATCTTGATGTCCATGATCAATGTGATGTCTAAACAATTTCGGATGTTCACTGTGGATATCCAGAAAGCTCCTAGATATTCACAGTGATTTTTTGGATGTTCAACATTCGAAAATCTCATATTTTTGGATGTTCGACATCCGAAAACTCACTGTGAAAATCTAAGAAGTAAATTTTCAGATGTTCAACATCCTAAAATATTACTTTTTCGGATGTTCAACATCCGAAAATGGTACTGTGAAAATCCAGAAAGCGCCTGGATTTTCACAATGAATTTTCGGATGTCCAACATCTGAAAAAGTAATATTTTCGAATGTTGAACTTAGTTCCTAGATTTTCAAAATGAGTTTTCGGATGTTGAACATCCGAAAACTTACTGTGAGATCTTCACAGTGAGTTTTCGGATGTTCAACATCCAAAAACTCATTGTGAATATCCGGAGCTTCCTAGATTTTCACAGTACTTTTTTTCGAATGTTCAACATCCGAAAACTTACTGGGAGATTTTCATAGTACCATTTTCGGATGTTGAAAATCCGAAAATATGTCAATTTTCGATGTTGAACATCGGAAATTGTTTAGACATCACATTGATTATGGACATCAAGATGCATTGACATGATAAAAATATGGACATCATTTTTGGATACATGGACATGAGAATAACTCATTTCTAGATGTATGGATATGAGATTCATTTTTCTTATTTTAAGGCTATCACAAAGATTTCTAATATTGATATCATCTATCTCGACACAAAGATTGGCAAACTCATCCATTAGAAGATTTATGACAACAAAGAATTCTGATTGCACTGACGCAAATTTGACAACAAAAACACAATATTCACTCAATTCATTAATTCATGAAAATCATAATTCCATACAAGAATAAATATTAACATCAAATTCACTCTATCGGTTCTCTGCATGTTGTCCTATTATGACCCTCTACGCCGCATCGTTTGCACTTCAAAGGCCTGATGATCAGATGTTCCGTCTAGGATATTCTTCGTTGCTTTTTTGGCCTATCAGGAAGGCGCGTAGTCCTTGGTGGCAACACTGTCCGGTTGTAAATGCCTGTCAATTCAATATCATCTGGGACAAGTGCAAAGGGAGTTTCAAATGCCTTTCTAAAGTATTCCACTGTAAAATACTTAAGGCAGTACACAGTGGGATCCATATGCATATGGTTAATTGCCGCAATAGCATGGCCATACGGAATGCCACTGAGTTTCCATTTTCTACAACTGCATGTCAACTGCATTAAATCGATAGCGTACTTCTTCCCAAGATAGTGGATCTCAAAAAGCGTGTCTATGACGGATATAACTTTGTGCAAAAATCGAGCCTTCATCTTTCGCATGTCAAGTAATTCTTGAGCCTTCGGTACTAACATGCTGCTCCAAGTATTACCTAATTCCCTCTTCTCTTCAAACTTGGTCATCAACTGTATCCTTATTTCTTCACACATTGTAATGATCAGCTTTTCTCGAGCCGATAAAATCCAAGCATTGAAAGACTCGACCATGTTTGATGTAAGATAATTGTATCTAGACCCTGGAAAATAGACATCTGCTCAAAATTTCGGTGGAATATTCTTAATCCAATCATATGCTTCTGGGTCGGCACATTGTATATCAAACATTATTTTTTCAAACCCATCAATGGTCGCTTTATGAGCAGCCTTCCAAAACAGCATCAGCAATACTTTAGTATTTGCTGACCTCTTCATAAAACCCTTGAAGTTCTCTCCCATATGTCACATGCAAAATGATGAAAAACATGTTGGAAAGCATTTTTCTATTATTTTTGGCAAGCTTAATTGTCGATCTGATATAATGGTTAAGGCGGGCAGATTAAGGTACCCATTTAAGAGCTCACTCAATATACTTAAGAACCAATACCGACTCTGGTAATTCTCCTTCTCAATCACTGTAAATGCCAATGGGAAGAGCCCATTATTTGCATCTACCGCGATAGCGCACAATAAAATGCCTTGATACTTTCTTTTTAGGACTGTTCCATCAATACCAATTAGTGGCCTGCATCCATTGACAAACTCCATAATGCATAGACGATAGGCAATGAATAGTCGTGTGAACATGCCTTCATCTGTATGGATGCAAACTTCAGTTCCCGGGTTGGTTCTTCTGATCTTCTCAATATACAGAGAGAGGTCATGGTATTGTTGTTCATGTGATCCATATATCATCTATCTAGCAACCTCTTTTCCCTGCCAAGCTTGCATGTAGGAAAGCCTGACTCCGTGATCACGTTGAACATCCTTTACAATGTCTTTTGTTTTAATTTTTGGTTGGTCAAGAAGGCGGCCTTTAATCTTTTTTGCTACCCAATACTACGAGCTAGTGGCTGATGGACCCTCCCCATTGGACCACTACATGTGTGCTCCTTAACCATAGGCTTCACTTTAAAGTATGCGGTGCTGCCAACTCGTAAGCATCGCACTTGCCATGTGCATTCATCTGCCTTGCAACTTACCCACACTCGTCCTAATTCACTTTTGTCAAACTACAAAATAAAATTGTTGTGGATTGCAAAATCATCTAGATGATGCCGACATTCATTAACATTTTCAAAAAATTGCCCAACACTCAATTGAACATCGTTACCAACTCCTCTACATGGACTCTCTAGTAGTTCAATGTCCTCCATATCAGCTCTGGTACGAGCTTAGGGTTGGGCACCACTCCAATTTTTTGATCTTGCTCAGGTAAAGTGTTACACCGACTATTGACAAAAGATAGAGTGTAAGATGAAACAACAATTTCTACACATATAAGATTAAAATAAAGCAATTTACAGATGAAAAAATAAATTGTAGATATACCAATTCCTTGAAGATGGGTCCTCAGCAACAAATTCTTGTTGTGCCTCGGCAATATATACTACAATTCTCGAAGATTCCCCTCCCAACATAAAAGATACATCTATATCATCACTAACATCAATCAAATCACGGCCACTAGATAGACTTGTGTTGTGGTACATAATACCTAATTTATTTGGATCACACTTGGTTAAATTTGTAAAATGACGTTTTAGTTCCTCTAAGGAACTATTCCCATTAAACTTAGTGACCTTTAATTTTCCTCTTTTATAAATAACAAGTCTGTCATCTGCATTCGTCTCAAATGACCCCCCATATCAGAATACCAGTTGCACTCCCTCAGTAGCCATCGTCAATACAACTGTATTAAATGAATAACAAAGTTACTGTTATAAAAAATCAATACAAAAAAATTACCAAAAATTGGTATATTTTACACTATTAGGTGTAACCGTAATAATGTAAAGTATAATGGATATATATGTAATTTTTTTTTTTTAATAGAAAAAAATATCTTCTTTTCATTATCTATTGCTGCAACTGATGAGAGAGAAATGGAGACAATGAGTTTTAATGAGAAGGAAGGATCGTACAGATTAGAGAGAAAAAAAGGTCGAATTTTCTAGAAAAAAAAATTCACATCCAGATGGTTCTTTAATGGTGTGATACATGTCTTGCTATTGATCAATTAAGAAAAAGAGTTATGACCGTTATCAATGTCTTCAATGAGGAAAAAGTGGACTACTTGTTTTTTTATTTGAATTGATTAAGGGCCTGTTGGAAAAGGCTGAAATTAAGAATTTTGAATATTTAAAATTCAAGAAAATCTATGGAGTTCTAATATTAAGGATTATTTTAATAAAGTTTTCAATAAATAAGATTTATTGTTTGGTAACAAGATTTATTCCTTATCATCATTTCCACGTTTATTGTTTGGTAACAAAATTTGATATAGTTTCTCTCTCTAAAATGCTAATATCTTCTCAATCTAAAACTCAAAATTTGAGATAGTCTCTCGCTATGAAAGTTTTGAGATAGTTTCTCTATTTAAAATTTGATATAGTTTCTCTCTCTAAAATTTGATATAGTTTCTCTCTCTAAAATTTTAATATAATTTATCTCTCTAAAACGTAAAATTTGAAATAGCTTCTCGATCTAAAATTTTTGAGATAGTTTATCTCTCTAAAATTTGCAAGTAATTTCTCTCTCTAAAATTTAATATAGTTTTTCTCTGTAAAATTTAAGATACTTTATCTCTTTAAAACTTATAATATGAGATGGTTTTTTTTAAAAAAAAATTGAAATATTTCATTCTCTAAAGATATTTAGATATTTTATCTTTCCAAAATTTGATATAATTACTCTCTCTCTAAAAGTTTAAGATACTTTCTCTCTCTAAAATTTAAAATTTGAGATAGTTTCTCTCTCTAAAATTTTGAAATAGCTTCTCTCTTAAAGTTGATATAGTTTCTCTTTAAAATTTTAATAAACTTTCCCCTCTAAAACTTAAAATTTGATATAGTTTCTTTAAAATTTTTGAAATAGTTTCTCTCTCTCTCTAAAAATTTGAACTACTTTTTCTACCTAAAATTTGATATAATTTCTCTCTCTAAAATTTTAAAATATTTTGTCTCTCTAAAACTTAAAATTTGAGATAGTTTTTCTCTTTAAAAAATATTATATATTGTAACGCATTATTCAAATTTCACTCCAAAAATAAGAGTTCATGGATGTACAAGATCTGGAGCATTTTTTGAGCTCAAAATTTTGTAGTTGGTTCCAAACATTGATTTTAGGGCTATCGTGGAGATTCCAATTCCCAAAGTACTTTCAGGACAAGGACTCATGGTGAGTCTTTACTTTGTTTTCATAAAACCCAGGCCTTATAGAAATTGATATTTAAAATTTTGATCAAAATTTTCAAATTTAACTTTCAAATCTCTTTTTACATATGGCTTTACACGTGCAAGTAAACTGCCAATAATATTTCTCTTGAGATATAGAGTGTAAGGGGTTGCCTTTTGCGATATATATTGTACGGGGGTGGCTTTTGAGATTCAAGAAAGGCTCACCTCTAAATTGGTTGAAGATGCAGTTTCCGTATTCAAAACCTTAAGATGGTTTGGAAATTAATTGTGAAATTTAAAATTTTAAAAATAATACAAATTGCGTAGATCTATAAATAATTAAAATTTGTAAATTTATAAACGGTTCAGATAACTTGTTATAAGACTTCAAATTTTTTATATTCATATATATCGAGATCCGAATGATCAATTGGAAGGTTTTTTAATTTTAGAACATTCTTTTCTATTAGATTTTTGAAGTGCACCTCACTTCTATAATATAAAATTACAACATTATATAATTTTTTTCTACAGTTATAAAAGACAGGTAACACCTATCTGTTTACTCAGCAATTATATGATTTTATAATCTACAATTCCCTAACGACACTACTTAAAGGTGGGCGCGTCATGAAGACCTAAGGCTTGGCAAGATTGCAAAGGGCGAATCATTTATAATTTTACAATGAAACATTTATCCTGCCTTGGGGAGAATTAAGAGTTTTTCCCTTCTGATTGAGGCTTTTGATTGGTAGTATTTTTTATAGCCGGTTATCGATTGACACCTATAAAATTTTATAAATTACATTTAAAAAAGGGTGTCCGGTTTAATTATTTAATGTTCATAAAATAAGTAAGGATATTTTTTTTATTAAAAAGAATAATGATGATGTTTTTACTAAAAAATAAGTGTGATTATGAACAAAACTTATAAGTACTTTATTAATATGTCTTTACCTTTTAGTATATATTTCGAGATGACAAAACATATCCTTCGTGGAGAAAAAATCATGACTTCCTATTGGTTTCCATATCCTCTTGAGTTTAAAGGTTTACGATTTACATTAGTCTGGTAAAACTCAGCTTATTAGGTGGATCATCCACCCCACATATTCATCTTGGATAGCTGAATTACCGATTCAGATTTTGGTAAAACTCAGCTTATTCGGTGGATCATCCACCCCACATATTCATCTTGCATAGCTGAATTACCGATTCAGATTTTGGTAAAACTCAGCTTATTAGGTGGATCATCCACCCCACATATTCATCTTGGATAGCTGAATTACCGATTCAGATTTCGGTAAACTCAGCTTATTAGGTGGATCATCAATCCCACATATTCATCTTGGACAGTTGAATTACCGATTCAGATTTAGGTCTACATCGATTTGAAAAGGAGATCCCAAAAAATATTGAAAAATAACAAAAAAACATTGTCGATATTCTCTCTCTTTTTTCATAACCCGTATACCAAAGAGAAGCCTAAAGATAAATTCTATTATATAGTAATTAAGAATAAAGCGTGCAGGCTTTTCAATTACAGCCGTCCATTTCATGGTTGACGGCTGTCCATTACTTTACCATCTATATTCCAAAGACCAGAGGGAGCCGCACTAAAATCAAATGTCCCCAAAAATCCACATCCAGAAAAAGGGCAAAACCAAATGCTTTTAGAGAGAGGGAGAAATTTACAGAGAGAGATACTTATTCAGATTTACAATTAATGAAACCAGAAGGGTTTCTTGGTACTTCATTACATGTATCATAAAAATACCAGTAACCAGAGACACACAATTTTTACATAGTTACAATAAGAGAAAATGAAGAGAGAAAAACACAATTTCAAAGAGATTTCTTCTGTTTTCTCTCTCTACGAGAACCTGCATCTTCCTCCTTGTGACCCATAAAACCCATGATGCTATTAAACACCGAAACCCCACCTTCATGTTGCTCTGCAGCTGATTCAAGGACGCCATTAGAGGAGTTAACTGAACCTTCAGAGGTACCCACAAATCCCTCTCTGCTCTCACTCTCTAACCCATCTGAAAATTCCCCTCCTCTCTCCGAAGACCCCATTTCCCATGAAGCAGTTTTACCAAAGAAGATGATGGCCACAAGGAAAAGACCAGTGGAAACCAATAGAGGCCAGAAAAACTTCAAAATGGTGAGGAATTTGGGTGCTACAAGAACCAGAGACAATAGAGAGAGAAAGACCAGAGATGCATAGATGGCATGGTATTTGTACTTGAGGAGCATCTCTGATATTTCCATGGCCTTCACTGTCAGCTCCAAATGACCCACAAATAGAAAGGGGGCAAGAAAAGTTCTGGATCTCAGTCGAGAGAGAGAGAGAGGGATTACCTTCTTTCCTTTGGGATTGGGGGGATAAAAAGCTTTTAATCCTGTGGCTTTTTCAGCAAGACAATAGGCCACCCTTGACTTTTTGCGTAGAGAGAGAAAGAAAGTGAGTACCTCTCTTGCTTTTAGAGAGAGAAATTACAGTTCCTTCTTAGAGAGATGGAATAATGGGGTTTGAGAAAATGGTGATAGGAGTTGGAGGGATTGGGGAAGGATCACTGAATAAGGGCCAATATATGGAGAGAGAGATTACAGGGAATGGAGGTGATGGATTGATTATTGGAAGGGTTGAAAAGATTCCACAAAGGAAAGTGCTTTGCATTTCATTGCATTTCTCCTAAGGTACCCTGCCTGCTAGCTGACACTGTCCTTTTTATGTTCCTTGCCCTCCATCTATGTTATGCTCCCTCCCTTTGGACCCTATTGTACTTTTACTCCCTCGGTAAAAAGATGATTTTCAATCTTTATTTTTTATTTTTATGCAGTTTCTATATGACCTTAGTTTTAGAAAAACAAAGTAAATCCTCCTTACAAGGCACTTTGGGTATTGGAATCTCCATCATAGATCTAAACTCAATTTTCAACGCCGACTATAAATTTTGAAGCTAAAAAAAGTGGTATAGATCTCTTGCAGATTTGTGAACACAGATTTTAGCACGAAATGGATGGTTTAGATAATGCGTTACCATGCACACTATTTTTAGGACTTAAAATCCTAATTTTTTTCACAACCACATGATCAAGGCCGAGATGATCGATTTGAGGGTTTTTTCATGCCAAACAATACAATTTTCATTGAGCTCTAAGGCGATGCTTTTCTTATTTTGATAATCCCTATCTGTTAATACACAATTTTTGGGATAATATGAAAAAAGATTATATAAGGGTGAGGCCCTAAAAAATCAAATTAAAGCACACTTCAAAAATTCACTAGAAGAGGTTGCTTCGATGCTGAAAGACCCTCAATTTAATCATCTCGATCTCAAGATGTATGGATACGAAAAAAAATAGTTTTTATGTAATGGAAATAATGCATCTTGTAATATATTATCTAGATTGCCAATTTTCAAGATTTTTAAATGTTCATGGATGTGTTTGTTCTACAATAACTTGGAATATTTAAAATTTACAATTAGAGAGGAAAATAAATTTTCAGGCCATCAAAAAAAATTCTAATACTGAAATACATATTTCGACACTATTTGAAAGTGCACCTTACTTTGATTGGGCATCAGCCTTATACAAATTACATTTCTTAAGAATTACTAGATGATTATTCTCCAAAAAAAAAAAAACTAAAATTTGAGTTTCCTATGAGATTATTTCTTCAAGTGCTTCAAATGCACATTTATTATTGAGGTCCAAAGTGTAGAATCCTAAAATTAATGAGTGCATATAGCATACTATGTGCCTACCTCCTCGCCCAAAACACCTACTTAGGAAAATCATTTATTAGTCTCGAATCCACATAAAAATTACTATTAGATGATTATTTTCAACAAAAATAAGATAAATTTAGAGTTTTGAAACACTTAGATCTAGCCCTTCAAATATTTGACGGTTTCTATTCAATCTTGAGACATTGGGTTTTTTTGGTACATCGTTTATTTTGAAATTTTATTTTTTTGGCCAAGGTTATTCTGTGGGCCATAGAGATTACATCTCCAAAATTTGAGATCTATAAAATATATCTAGCTTGTGTTTTGCCCGAGGGGGAGAAAATGGATAGTATTACTCCTAAGGGAGTAGGAAATCTATTGAAAAAATTAATCATAGTAACCCTGTCGACTCAAATAAATTTTAGAAACATTCTAGTTAACCTCTGTTAAAAAAACTCCTTTACTTTTCTTTTCTCTTTTTTTTTTTTTGAAATAATTATGAATTAAAAGACAATCAAAGAATACAAAAGAAATGTTGATTAAAAAAAATCTTGTGAATTGATATGTGGGGAGAGCATAAAGTTTCATTTTTGATAAAATAGTTTTAGTGATAAAAGACAGAGAATGAGGACAAGGATTTATGCTTTCCTTTTGATAGAAAGAAAACCTTTCCCCACTCTTCTCTTTCCCCCTTCCTTGGAATCACTTAAATCTTAGTTTATATAATTTAATTATTCACACTAATTCTGTTCATGCCACGTGTATCATATTAAAATGGGGACAATGGTTCAAATAATGCATCAATGAAGAAAGAGTCGATTATTTTATTAGGAATAATAGATATATATATAAAATAAAAAAAATAAAACAAAAGAAGAATTATACAACTCCCTAGAGAGCATAATGTATCATGTCTCCCCCTTTTAATTGGGTGTATCATGTCTCCCCCTTTTAATTGGGTGTGGTTTTTATAAAGTTGCAACTTCAACGATCTAATTAAGGCGCACCTCCAAATTTTATCTTAACATGTAATTTTGGTGAAAAATATTCTTAGAATTATCTCAAAATCTATTTTCATATCTAATTATAAAATTTTAAACTCCAAAAATGGTTAACATCAAGTACATCTATAAACGTATGAAAATCTTGAAAATGGACGGTCTAGATAATGTACTTGCAAGATGCACTATTTTTTTAGAC